CACTCAATTGCCCTGGGATTGATAGCCCAAGCCTCATAGCTCACAGCAACTTCAAACTCATTTAGAGATGGGGTCTCACACTTGCTCAGGCTGGTCTTGAACCTGTGAGTTCAGGCAATCCATCTGCCTCGGCCTCCCAGAGTGCCAGGATTACAGGCATGAGCCACCGCACCTGAACAAATTCTGTTTTGTTTTATTTTTAGACAGAGTCCCAGCTTACAGCAACCTCAAACTCTTGGATATAAGTGATTTTCTTGCCTCAACATCCCAAGTAGCTGGGACTACAGGCGACCACCACAATGCCCCGCTATTTTTGTTGTTTTGTAGTTGTATTGTTTTTTAGCAGGCCTAGGCCAGGTTCAAACCTGCCAGCCCCAGTGTGGGTTTGTTTCTTTTTTTTTTTTTGTGACTACTGAGTTACAGGTGCTGAGCCTAAAACAGTCCTTCTCACTGAAGAAATTAATTCCCAACTCAAAAGTAAGGGACACCAACTGACCTGCAGACTGTTTTATTTTTTGCTTATACATAGAAATGTAGGAACACTTTGGGTGGTCCTGAATAATCTTCAACTTCAAAAACTTCTCAAGACACTGAATAAATTCAGATTTAGTTAAGGGTATAAGTAAAAATCACTTTACTTTTTAGGTGTATCTAGAAATGGAGAAATCTTTTCATGGAAATTGCTAAATGTGTTAGCCTCCAAGGGTCCTCTAGACCCCAGTCATCTTAGATTTGATGAAATATGTTTTCTCTTCCAAAAGATCAGAAAGCTTCATAAAAAGAGAAAACCAATGTCTTTTTTCTTATCCCAGAATGTTTAAAAAAAATGTGGTTCTGTAAATTAGATCACGGCATGTAAACCATAAACTTATACATTTTTTAAAAAAGCACTGGCCAGGTGAGGTGGCTCATGCCTGTAATCCTAATACTCAGGGAGGCTGAGGAAGGTAGACTGCCTGAGCTCAGGAGTTTGAGACCAGCCTGAGCAAGAGGGAGACCCCATCTTTTAAAACAGCCAGGTGTTTTGGCTGACGCCTATAGTCCCAGCTACTTGAGAGGCTGAGGCAAGAGAATCACTTGAGCCCAAGAGTTTGAGTAAGCCGTGACTTCATGGCTCTCTTCCAGGGCAATAGGGTGACACCCTGTATTAAAAAAAAAAAAAAAAATCGGGTGGTGCCTGTGGCTCAGTGGGTAGGGTGACAGCCCCATATACCAAGGCTGGCGGGTTTGAACCCAGCCCCAGCCAAACTGCAACAAAAAGTAGCTGGGTGTTGGGTGGTGCCTGTGGCTCAAAGAAAAGTAGGGCACCAGCCCCATATGCCGGAGGTGGTGGGTTCAAACCCAGCCCTGGCCAAAAACTGCAAAAACAAACAAACAAACAAACATAGGTGGGCACTGTGATGGGTGCCTATAGTCCCAGCTACTTGGGAGGCTGAGGCAAGAGACTCGCCTAAGCCTAAGAGCTGGAAGTTAGTGTGAGCTGTGATGCCACAGCACTCTACCAAGGGCAACAAAGACTCTGTCTCTAAAAAAATAATAATTAAAAAAATATATCCTAAACTTAAATGGTGGGAGAAGAAAAGGGCGATGGTGGCTCGGTGCCTGTGGCTCAGGCGGCTGGGGCACCAGCCACATACACCTAAAGTGGCGGGTTCGAATCCCCAGCCCGGCCCGTCAGACAACAATGACGGCTGCAGCCCTGTTGTGGCGGGCGCCTGTGGTCCCAGCTACTTGGGAGGCTGAGGCAGGAGACTCGCTTGAGCCCAGGAGTTGGAGGTTGCTGTGAGCGTGATGCCATGGCACTCTACCCAGGGGGATAGCTTGAGGCTCCGTCTCAAAAAAAAAAAAAAAAAAAAGAAAAGGGCGATGGTAAGAGGATGAAATGCCAGTGATTGCTAGCTGGATCAGAAATTGTCTGAAGGAACAACAAAGGACAGGAACAGTTAACTCATGGTACACCAGCATAGTAGTAGTTCTTTCACTCTTATTTCAAGCTTAAGGACAGAATAAATAGCAGCAGTATTTACCTAACTATTACCTGGTTCCCAACAAGCTGATTTGGCAGTACTGAACTATCTGATAAACCATGTTGCGTATTTTAGCTCTGCTTGTCATTATCTAAAAGACATTTAATTAGCTTTTAAATAGTAGAGACATCTACTTGTGAAAACTCTATGAGCCATTTTAAGTTTTCCCAGGCCATCTACTGTGCCTTATATCTAGCATACAACAGGAATTAAACAACTACTTACTGAAAGAAAAAACAATTCCTGCCGACAAAAAGAAGCAGGCAGGGCCCAAACACAATCTATCCAGATCTCCCACATACCTGTAACAGCTCATCACGGGAGATCTTGTCATCTTTATCCAAATCATATAGTCGAAAAGCAACTGGTAGGAAAAAATAAGAAGTTAGTGGAAATTCTGTAGTGTTTTCCCCTTCTCAAGGCACTAAATATGAAAAGGCTAACTAGACCAAAAACTGACAGCCTATTAATAGATTTTACAATAGCAACTGCAATTACTTGATGAAATATGACCTTTCTTCCAACAAATTAGAAAAATTCATAAAAAGAAAGTCAGCTGGCACAATGGCAGCAGAATTCTAATTGATTTTCAGCTTACTATAATAGTCCAGGAGCCAAAACTAAAATATGTAATACAAAAAACTACACATAGCTTGCACAGCACTGTCATTCTCTGTCATCCTTAATTCATTAGTACTGAGAAGCCATTGAGGCTTTTTTCTTTTCTCTCTGCAGTTTCTGGCCAGGGCTGGGTTTGAACCTGCCACCTCCAGCATCTGGAGCCAGTGCCCTACCCCCTTGAGCCACAGGCACCGCCCCATTCTCTGTCATCCTAAAGTTTGTCATTTCTGTGGCAATCAAAACTTCTTCCTTGACAGACTATCATCTACAGATTCAGGAGGGAAAACAGGGACCTAGTATAAAATCATCTCTATTTTTATATCCTAAGCCTTACTTTTCCTTTTTTTTTGGAGAGACAGAGTCTCACTTTATAGCCCTCAGTAGAGTGTTATGGCATCACACTGCTCACAGCAACCTCCAACTCTTGGGCTTAGGCAATTGTCTTGCCTAAGCCTCCTGAGTAGCTGGGACGACAAGTGCCCACCACAATGCCCAGATATTTTTTGTTGCAGTTTGGTCAGGGCTGGGTTTGAACCCTCCACCCTCGGTATATGGGGCCAGCACCCTACCCACTGAACCACAGGTGCCACCCACTTTTCCTTTTATTTTTGAGACAGAGTCTCACTCTTTTGCCTAGGGCAGAGTGCCATGGCCTCAGCCTAGCTCACAGCAACATCACATTCCTGGGTTCAAGTGATCCTCCTACCTCAGCCTCCTGAGTAGCTAGGAGTATAGGTGCCTGCCATAGTGCCTGGCTAATTTTTCTATTTCGAGTACCAATGGGGTCTGTCTCTTGCTCAGGCTGGTCTCAAACTTCTGAGCGTAAAGGACCTTCTGCCTCAGCCCCCCAGAATGCTAGGATTACAGGCATGAAACAGTCACTCTGGAAAACAGTCTCATAGTTGCCTATATCATGAATGCTCACAGTAGCTCTATTCATAATGGTCCCAAACTGAAAACAACCAAAATGATCCTCAGTGTGTAAATGGCTAACAAACTGTTGTACATCCAACATGAAATAGATAAATGCAATAAAGTGGAAGAATTCTGATAACATGCAAGAATTATGCTGAGTAAAATAAAGCTAATCCTTACAAGAGTACATACCTTATAATTACATTTATATAATATATGTAATATATATGTGTATTTTTTTTTTTTTTTGAGACAGAATCTCACTCTGTCACCCTGAGGTGGAGTGCTGTGGCATAATTATACCTCCTAGGAACCTCAAACTCTTGGGCATAAGCAATCCTCTTGCCTCAGGCTCCCAAATAGCTAGGATTACAGGTGCCTGCCACAATGCCTGGCCAGTTTTCTTTTTATTTTTTTCCTATTTTTAGTAGAGAGAGGGTATTGCTTCTGCTCAGGCTGAGTTCTTGGTTTTCAGGTGGCACATGTGGCTCAGTGGGTAGGGCGCCATATACCTACGGTGGTGGGTTCGAACCTAGCCCCGGCCAAACTAACAAAAAAATAGCTGGGTGCTGTGGTGGACGCCTGTGGTCCCAGCTACTTGAGAGGCTAAGGCAAGAGAATCGCCTAAGCCCAGGAGTTGGAGGTTGCTGTGAGCTGTGATGCTAGGCCACTCTACCAAGGGGCAATAAAATGACACTCTGTCTCTAAAAGAAAAAATAATGATAAAAAAATGATAAAATTAAGGAGTTATAACAGAGGTTGCCAGAGTAGAGGTAAGGCTACGTGCAGTTTATGCTTCACAGTTGTTATATATTCCTCAATTTATGATTTGTGTTCACCATTTTCAAAATTAATGATTATTCTTTGACCCAGTGCTACATTCTTTTATTTAATGTATAATAAAGCAGCACTTATATTACTATGCCAGTTGTTTTTATAGTTTGTTAATTATATTTCAAAATAACTGGCTACTTTTGAGTATCCACATTATCTACCTGTCAAGTTGGATGGTTACTAAGAGTCAGATGTGTCTGGCTAAAAAAATGTTGATGTTATTTACACTTTTAATAAAATTATATAATTTGATAAAAAATGAGACATGAATATGAAAAAAGAAAGCTATTGTTTCTATAAAAATTAGATTGACTACTTCTAAAAGACTCATAATTAAATTCCCAGAGACCAGCCTGGGCAAGACTGAGACCTGGTCTCTAAAAACTAGCTGGGTGTTGTGCCAGGCACCTGTAGTCCCAGCTACTGGGGAGGCTGAGGCAAGAGGATCGTTTGAGCCCAAAAGTTTGAGGTTGATGTGAGCTATGACACCACAGCACTCCACTGAGGGTGACAAAGTGAGACTCTCTCTAAAATACAATACAATACAATATTGAGAGAAAAAGTGTAAATCCCTAGAAAGATTTTATTCTCAGAATGCTTTGAGTGCTCACTTTAGCAGCACATGTACTAAAACTGGAATGATAAAGAGAAGATTTGGCCCCTGCACAAGGATGATATGCAGATTCATGAAGTGTTCCATATTTTAAAAAATGCAATCAGTGTAACCTAATTCTTGGTACCCTCAATGAATCCCAAACAAAAAAAAAAAAAGGAAAAAATAAAAAAATAATAAACTTAATAAAAAAGAATGCTTTGAGTATCTTTAAATTATCTTTCCACTTAAAAGAAAGTGGAACTAGAAACCTAAGATGATACTTTATAGGTATGTTCTATATAAAAAATGTCATACAAGTCCCATCAGCAGATCTATACTAACATAAAAACTAAACTAAACAAAATAACCCTTGACGCTACTACATCAAAAGACTAGCAGGTGATGTGTTTTAAAATACTTTAAGGTAAAATAAAATGTTGAACCATGTTTTTTTTTCTACAGCCTATGCTATACCCACTTTTTCTTTCTTTCTTTCTTTTTTTCTGGACAGAGTCTTACATTGTCACCCTTGGTAGAGCTTCATAGCTCACAGAAACCTCAAACTCTTGGGCTCAAGTCATCCTCTTATCTCAGCTTCCCAAGTAGCTGGGATACAGGTGACTACCACAATGCCTGGCAATTTTAAGAAATGGGATCTCGGGCTGCGCCTGTGGCTCTAAAGGGTAGGGCACCAGTCCCATATGCCGGAGGTGGCGGGTTCAAACCTAGCCCCGCCAAACACTGCAAAAAAAAAAAAAAAAAAA